GGTTCCTCAGTTACACAGGGGAGCGCAATGTCTCCAACATGGTGATTGTTGATGTGAAGATGCTGTCAGGATTTGTCCCATTGAAGTCCTCAGTGAGGAAGGTAGGAGCATGTTTGTCATACAAGCAAAATTGAATTATAGAATTCATTAAGGTTGGAAAAGATCTCCATGTTCATCCTTCCTCCAAATGCCACCATACCCACTTATTGCCATATCACAATGTGCTTTGTCTACTCTTTTTTTTTAAACTTCTCCAGGGACAATGACTTCACCACTTTCCCACAATGTCTGTTCCAATGCTAATCCTTCTTTCAGTGAAGAAATTTCTCCAAATACTCAGCATGAATCACCCCTGCTACAACTTGAGGGCATTTTCTCTTGTTCTATTGCTACTTGCCTGGGAGGAGAGACTGTCCCTCGCCACGCTGCAGCCTCATTTCAGGGAGTCGTAGATAGCAATAAGGTTCCCCCAAGCCTCCTTTTCTTCAGCGTAAACAATCTCGGCTCCTCATAAGACTTATATTCCAGTCCCTTTTCCAGAATGATTGTCTTTCTTCGGAGTTGCTCCAAGGTTTAAATTGAGGAGTACAAAACCGAGTGAATAATTCAATGTGCAGCATCACCAGTGCTGAATACAAAGAGAAAACATCCACTTTCTTACATTCAAGACACCTTTCAAATGTCTGTAGCAAATGACAGAACCTCAGCTTGATTTTGTCACTGTCATTTGCACATTTGACATGTAGAGTGTTCTCTTTTCATACATGGCGTAAGGCCAGCAAAAGGGAAGACGATGTGATTAGTCTAAGAAAAAGTAGAATAAGTAACTTTTTCTTTAGACTGATGATGGGCACTTTTATTTTCACTGTGTCCCAACAACTCCCCAGAAACATTATCTGTGGATAGTACATTCAAAAATACCTGTTTCCTTTTTCCCTTTGCTGATCTAAAACCATCTTATAACATAGTGACTCTTTAGGTGTTTGAGATGCTGAGTAGGTGCATGAACTGGAAAATAAAGGCTATAATAATATGGTGCAGAATCAGCAAGCCAGAAGGAACATATTTTCATTTAATTGTTCCATTGCTGTGCTTGATCCAGGGCTAAGGCTCTTCTGGAGCCAGGTTGTACTTCCTTAGGCAGTCTGCTGAGGGGGAGGGCTGGAGACAATGATATTTGTGTGGCACACCCAGTAACACAGCAGTTCTGTGCTGCTGACTAAGTTCCCTGAGTATTGCAGTATTTCATCCAGGGTGCATCCCACAGGGCTGTAGAAGGAGCACAGGGACACCTCCATCAATGCAGTAACATCTTGTTCTTCTTTCTTCAGCTGGAAAGCTACCCTGTTATTGAGCGCACAGAGCTGAATACCAATCATGTTCTACTATACCTGGAAAAGGTGCGGATGGGGCAGAAACACAGACATTGGGACTTTTGGCTACACAGAGCAAAAAATCTGGGACTCAAAACTGCCATGGCTCTGCTAAGAATGGGACTGAATACTTTACTGTCTTTTTCTGACTACAAACTCTTAAGTTTTTAGACTTAATGCTACTTCTCTTCCAGCCCTCCCAGCAGGCATTCCCTACACCCTGTGCACAGATCAGGCCTTAATTTCCCCACCAGCAGAGCC